AAAGTTATGTGATGCCTACACATACTTTGTTTAATTAACAGATATTGTTTTAAACTTTCAATGACACCATTTACTATGCACTTTTCCCAAATGGTACTTTTTGGCTGAGACTAACATTTATTCAAATTTATTCATTGAGGATTACAGTTTATATTTTGTAGCTTTTGCTTTCATGTAAGTGAACTGAAGGGCCAGATAGTAAAAGTGGATAGATGAAGGTAAGGTGGTGTGACATGCAGCAAAAGCTTGAGCATCACTGATTAAGTGTTACAGCATCTGGGCTAACAGTCTGGTTATTGCAGTGGTTTGTGACAACTATTTAAAACGTACCGCTGTTTTCTGAAGTACGACCACCAGCTTTCAATTCTTTGGTTTGATGTTGAAGAACCATACATATGACTGGCAGCTCCTGCAAACAAATCCTGATGAGATGACCGTAAGGCACATTGCATTGCTGCCATTGTACCATTTTCAGTGCCACAGTCTGTGCGAAGCCGCAGTGGTATGACTCCAAACTCTGAAGCACATTGAAGGTAGTGTTGAGCTATGACTTCTGGGTTGTTGTTAGTTGCTCCACAAACCAACCATAATACCTTCCGGGAATAGCCATCAATACAACCACTGATAGCCAAACCATATGGCTTTAATTTGTCATAGCCATCAACATGCCAAGTATGGTTTGGTCCAGGTGAATCATATACTCTTCTTACAAACCTTTGTCTGGAGCGATTTCTAACTCCAGACGGGTTGAGCTCTGCCATTATTACCATGACATCATGCCTTTTCACTGAAAGACAGTGTTTCTGATACAATGTCTGCCACATTGAACGGTAACCATAATGTTGCCCAGGTCCCTTCAGCTCTTCCATTATTGCAGCACGAACCAAGGGTAGAGGTGAATAATGTCTTTTGCGGGACAGTGACAAACTTTTTAATTTTGATTTCAGTGTGGTGAGACTAATCTTCTGCTTGTGTTTTGATGCCAAAACGTCCAAAATTTCATTATAGGAATAACCATCTCTGAAATATTTCTGAATGAGATCTTCTTTTGAAATGTTTTGTAGAAATGGCTCTGATAAAATAGAAAAAAGGTGTTACACTAGATCAACAGTGAGCTGTGCAGTTGAAACTAAATATAACATTTTCATTCATTAGTATAGTCTCATTATTAGCAAACCAAATAAATATGCTGCTTCCCTGTTGTTAAAGAGATTCACCTTTCAAATGTTCTGAAATTAGTAGCCAGGCCTACAACTACAACTTGCTGGTTTAAATGATATCCAGTGGGCTTGTGGGTGTTTTATATAACTAACATAAAATAATGAAATAAGACTGCAGAATTGAACTGTAAGTATCCAAAGCTTATAGAGTAACTGGTTGAGTCAACTTTAGCGTCGTTTGATATCAATTAAAAAGCTTACCATTGTCATCAATGTCTGCCAAAAACTCAATATTCTTGCCACATGATCCACAAAATTTAACAACATTTCTCAGGTTATGGCCACAATATGGACAAAACATGGCTCCCTGGAAGAACAAAAAACATTTTTCCTTTAAAATGGAGAATATAAACAGCAACCAACAGCCTTGAGCTAACATTTCATTCACAAACTGACGCCATTCCAACAGATGAATTAAAGTTATCAACGTTAACTTAACAAATACAGTTTTTAGCGTTAAGTAAAACGCAACACAAATGCTCTAATATTTAGTTCATTTACCTCCTTCGACCATGGATGTATTACCTTAGCATGCTTTACTACTCGTTCCAAACCAGCTGTTGGAACTTCCTCGTCCGTGTAGCCACTGGGCCACATGAGCTCACCGCGCCCCCAAGCGTCGTGGAGCACTTCCGGTTTGGGATCGTCTACTTGCAGCGCATTTTCACTTTGTTTCTGCTTTTTCTTTTGTATGCGTTTTTTTAATTTGCAGCGCATTTTCACTTTGTTTCTGCTTTTTCTTTTGTATGCGTTTTTGAATTTGCAGCGCATTTTCATTTTGTTTCTGCTTTTTCTTTTGTATGCGTTTTTGAATTTGCAGCGCATTTTCATTTTGTTTCTGCTTTTTCTTTTGTA